AAAAGTACTGTAATAACACAAATCTCCAGACAGATTTGGATTGAATCTTGAAGTTCAAGGGAATCATAAAGTAACATTTTTCCTGATAATTAACTGAAAAGAATCATAAAAATGAAGTGTGTATAGACTAGTATAAGGTATAAAAGCACAATGAGGTGAATCAGAAGTTAAAGGGTATGTAATGTCAAATGAGGTGTTGTTAGTCAGTGTCTATGTTGTTTTTCGTTTTGTTTACGTTCTGCGTAAATGGTTTTGTAAAAAAGAATCTTTTTAAAATATAGTAAATAAAAATAAACAATTGCTGGCAGCCTTTGTAACACCCATGCTCAGAGATCTACTATGGTTGCTGATTTGCTACTGGGCTGAGTTCAAGGCGTTACTATTAGTATACCAAACCCTTAAGAACTTGAGACCAGTTTACCTGCAAGATCTCCTTACCCGACATGTGCCCTCTCAGCTGCTTCAGTCAGCGGAACTGGCACTTTTACAGCTGCCACGTAATACCTTCATTGCATTTGTAAGAACGTAATGGTGACAGCAGTCACAAAATTAAGACGCCTGCTTCTTGGGAGAAAAGCAATGACAAACCTAGACAGCATCTTAAAAAGCAGAGACATCACCTTGCTGAGAAAGGTCCTTATAGTTAAAGCTATGGTTTTCCCAGTAGTGATGTATGGAAGTGAGAGCTGGACCATAAAGAAGGCTGATCGCCAAAGAATGGATGCTTTTGAATTCTGGTGCTGGAGGAGACTCTTGAGAGTCCCATGGACTGCAAGAAGATCAGACCTCTCCATTCTGAAGGAAATCAGCCCTGAGTGCTCACGGGAAGGACAGATCCTGAAGCTGAGGCTCCAAGACTTTGGCCACCTCATGAGAAGAGAAGACTCCCTGGAAAAGACCCTGATGTTGGGAAAGATGGAAGGCACAAGGAGAAGGGGACGACAGAGGACGAGATGGTTGGACAGTGTTCTCTAAGCTACCAACATGAGTTTGACCAAACTGCGGGAGGCAGGGGAAGACAGGAGTGCCTGGCGTGCTCTGGTCCATGGGGTCACGAAGAGGCGGACACGACTAAACGACTAAACAACAACAATCTTTAGTGTGGCAGCACTGGAACTTTGGAACTCCCTGCATCATGATATCAGGCAGGCGCCTTCGCTTTATTCTTTTTGGCGGACAAGCCTAATCCAGATGCTTAGAAAGTTTCTATGTGTTTTAATTTCTTTTACTCTATTCTATCATGTTTTTATTATTTGTAAATTTTGAATTATGGCTCTAATTTTTTTAATGATAATTTTATTTGATTTTGTCTTTTTGGTAAACTGCTTTGAAGTTTCCCCTCCACAATTCATCCGCGTATAATTTCATGAAATAAATAAGAAACCTCATGCCTGCCCCTGCCCGCCATCTCCTTCTGTTCTTTTCCTTCCCTTGTTTAGCTGAGATATTAATAATAGGCAGGATATTGGCTGAAGTGTACAGATTCTACTTGGATGCTGTGAAAATGGCTTTCATCTCTGTTGAAAAATAAATGGGTGGGTTTTTGGTTTTTTTACAGTTTCCGAAACCTGTTCCCTAAGATTGTGTGTGCTTAAATGTGTGGTGATTTGCAGACAGTGTTCTTCAACATCTCTAGAAAACAGACAATTAGATGCAGATGAGAGGTTTAGCAGAAATGTTTGAACATCTATGGCTAGCAACGAATGCTAGTTTGAATATCATTATTGCTGTGCTTCTTACTTTCTTGCTTTTTATGATGGGGTTTGACAATTGAATTACATAAGTACATTGATATTTGCATTGTGACTTGTTTACCATCTTGACTTCCTGAGGATATACTGTATTTTTCATTCCATAAGACACACCTGACCATAAGACACACCTAGTTTTTAGAGAAGGAAAACAAGAAAAAAAAATATTCTGAATGAAACAGTGGATGTATGATTTTTGTGGTTCATGCTGTGGCCACAGACATGATATGTGATTTGATGGTTAGTTTGGGGTAGCCCAAAGCAAAAATCCTGAGGATCCATGTTGATCCGTGCTTTGTAACCATGTTTTTGCGCCATTGCAGCCCCACGAAACAGTGGGTGCATGATTTTTTTGGTGCAGGTTGTAGCCATGGACATGTTTTGTGATCTGATGGTGAATCTGGGGTGACCCAGTGCAAAAATCCTGAGGATCCATGGGCTTTTACCTCGCCCCTTCCAGGCAGCCTCCTTTATCGCTAGCGTCCCTTATCTCCCTCTCAATCCCTTACTGATCAGCTGTTTCCTTTCAACACTCCCTTCCCTCTTGTTTGCCTTAGTGTCTTTTCCTTAGCTGGAGCAGTTTTTTTGCTCCTCCTTTTCTTCTAATTTCTCTCCTCATTGCTTTAGTCTTCCTGTCTCCTCTCCTTGCAAGTTCGATGTCTTTACCTCCCCCTCCCAGGCAGCCTCCTTTATTGCTAGCGTCCCTTATCTCCCTCCCCGATCGCTTGCCAATTAGTGGCTTTGTTTCAACACCTACTTCCCTCTTTCTAAAAATAAAAGCATGACCTGCTTCTTGCCCCTGGGCAATTCGGCTCCTGGGACCACGCATTTGTTCCATAAGACGCACAGACATTTCCCCTTACTTTTTAGGAGGAAAAAAGTGTGTCTTATGGAAAAATACGGTAGGTGGAATATAAGGGCTGGACTCAACTCAGTCCACGATGGCTATAGTTTGCCTCCAGGGTTGGAGGCAGTAATGCTTCTGAACATCGGTTGCTGGAAACCACAGGAGAGGAGACTTGCTCTTGTGCTCTAATCCTGCTTGCAGGTTACCCAGGGGCATCTGGTTGGCCATCGCAAGAACAAGATGCTGGATTAGATCCAGCAGGCATATCCTCCAACATTTCCCCTGCCCCTCACACTGGGTTGCCCCAGCCACTCTGGGCAGCTTCCAACACATATGAGAACATAATTAAACATTAAACATTAAAAAGCCTTTCATCTTCAGGATTGCCTTCAGACGGCTCGGGAGTCAGATAACTGCATACTTTCCAGCATTTCTCCAATGAAAATTGCTGTTGTTTAGTTGTTTAGTCATGTCCGGCTCTTTATGACCCCCTGGACCAGAGCCTACAATAAACAATGTAGTTTATTGTACAAAACTCACATATACATACATTAGTAACGGATATGACCTCCGCTATTTTTAAGCAGCATTTGAACATGGTTTGGCATGGAGTCTACTAGTTTCGAACAGTCACTGTTGATTTTCGGATCCCTGTACCACACTTGAATCAGCACCTGGATGAGCTTCTCCATAGTCATACAGTCTGCAGCATGGAGATGACTTTTGCATTGTTGTTGTTTAGTCTTTTAGTCGTGTCCGACTCTTCGTGACCCCCTGGACCAGAGCACGCCAGGCCCTCCTGTCTTCCACTGCCTCCCGCAGTTTGGTCAAACTCATGCTGGTAGCTTCGAGAACACTGTCCCACCATCTCGTCCTCTGTCATCCCCTTCTCCTTGTGCCCTCCATCTTTCCCAACATCAGGGTCTCTTGCAGGGAGTCTTCTCTTCTCATGAGGTGGCCAAGGTCTTGGAGCCTCAGCTTCAGGATCTGTCCTTCCCGTGAGCACTCAGGGCTGATTTCCTTCAGAATGGAGAGGTTTGATCTTCTTGCAGTCCATGGGACTCTCAAGAGTCTCTTCCAGCACCAGATTTCAAAAGCATCCATTCTTCGGCGATCAGCCTTCTTTATGGTGAAAATAGGGACGTCCTATTTTCAATTAAAAAAGGGACGTCCTAAGGAAAAGCAGGACATTCTGGGGTCAAATCAGAAACCGGGATGGCTTCTGTAAATCCAGCACTGTCCCTGGAAAATAGGGAGACTTGGAGGGTCTGCGAGCAGGTTCTTCATATGGTTGCATGCCACCCCAATCTCTGAGCAGTGCGAGATTCCTGGAGTTGCAGGTGCTCAGCCAGAGTTTGTGTTTCCTTTTGGGAATAAGTCACAGCGAGATTGTGGGGTCTTCACAATATATATGGTTGATTTACACATATATAGAACCTGGAGGGGTCACAACTAGGACTGGGCGATGCCTGGTTTTCAACATTGTGATATATCACCAGCTAAACATCACAATAGATCAATGTATCACAATGTCTGAAATAAGGATGGACCTAATGGGGTAATGTCCTGGCAACTGCTGCTACTTAGGGGTCTAAAACTGATATGTGTTCACATATTTTTACAACTGTTATTTAATATTCCAGGGCACTAGGGGCGGTGGAAATCACGAGAGAAGTGATTTACGGCTTCACAGTTTCCCCCGCATCACACTTTTTTACACAGCATGTGCACACATCATGATGTACCACCATGTTGAATGTTACGAAACAATTATCATGGGTTTGGACGATATATCGAGACATTGTCCAGTCCTGGTGACAACATCAATGCCCCCCCCTCAAGGTTCTCCTTCTCCCATAGCCACAGGCTATACAGCAGTATGCTAGAAACAGATTTGAACATACATCAACATGTCTACATGTCTAGGTAGGTTTGTCTAAGCAAAAACATTTCCATCAGGTGCCGAAAACAGTACAGTGAAGTTGCCAGCCTGATATCAATAGGCAGGGAGTTCCGAAGTCTAGGTCCTGCCATGCTAAGAGATCAATTTCTTACAAATGTAAATGGGTGTTTTGTGACACTTGTGACAGTGCCTGTTCATCAGATCAAAGCAGTCAAGTGGACTAATAATAATAATAATAATAATAATAATAATAATAATTTATTATCTATACCCTGCCCATCTGGCTGGTCTTCCCCAGCCACTCTGGGCAGCTTCCAACAAAATATTAAAATATAGTGATGCATCAAACATTAAAAGCTTCCCTAAACAGGGTTGTCTTATACAGAGCAAGGTGTTGGCCCCAAGTTGTTAAGGGCAGAGTCTCTCTTTTTCTGTGTCTTCGGAAAGCAGCCCTCGCTCCTCAACACAAATGGACATGCTAAAGTAACAATCTGTTTTGATGCTTGCTCAGATCAGGTGGACCAAAACAGCAGGAAGTGCCTCTGACCGGTTTCAAGACTCCAGCGTCTTCAACGAGACGTTGAGGATCGCCAACATCCAGCGACATCAAGGGGGCCGCTATTACTGCAAGGCGGAGAATGGTTTGGGCTCGCCAGCCATCAAATCGATCAGGGTCGACGTGTACTGTAAGTACCTGCTTCTGGAAGCCCTTTTCTCTGTTGTGGTTGAGCGTCAAAGTGCCATGGCTGGGAGCCTGGAGGGAAGAGAGGGGTTGACCAGGCAGGTGGCCGGCAGAGGTTGCTAGCGTTTGAACGCAACCATTTATTTTGTCCAAATATTTTATTGTTTCCACTTATTTATACGAGAAGCAGCAACCAATATTCAACAATCCCACGCCCAACAAAAGCACTAAATGTTTATTTTATTGCATTTAACTGGTTCTAGACAAAGGTCTTGTTCCATAAGTTGTCATGTGTTGGTGAGCACCAATAAGCACGTTCTGCCAATGTTGCACATGTAATAAAACTGTGGCAGGTAGATTGAGAAGTAGTGGTTTTCTCGTTTATGCCACTCTCTCGGACAGGGTCTGTAGGTTTGTCTAGTAATATTGCACCCAGAGTTGTGAGGTCCAGATCTCAAACAGGTCTGCATTTAGGGAATTCCAATCCCTTGCAATAGTATACTGTGCTGTTAAGAACTTTGCTTCAGGATGAGAACAGAAATTGTGCTCTGGCGGTGCGGCGGCAGCAGCAGGAGGCCCCATTAGCTAAAGTGGTGCTTCAGGTTAAGAACAGTTTTAGGTTAAGAACGGACCTCCAAAACGAATTAAGTGCTTAACCCAAGGTACCACTGTAATATGATAGAAGTGCTATTTTAGGAACCAAAGGGATGTCTTGTTTTGTGATAAGGCCTGCGTCATGAAAGACCCTTTTCCCCAAACAGAAAGACTTTGGGACATTGCCACCACATGTGGATAAGTGAGCCAATGGCCTTACTATTTTGTCAACACATTGCTGATACACTTTTAGTCATTTCACCAAGCAATAATGGTTATATACACCGTTTGTGTATTGAGTGCCTTTTCATATCACAGTTCATAGACACATAGAATCATAGAACTGTCGAGCTAAAAGGCACCCCAAGGGTCATCTAGTCCAGCCCTCTATAAAGCAGGAATCTCAGATATGGGGAACTAGCTATCCTGGAAGAAAATGTATTCCACCCTTTTGGCCTGCATTGCACAGGGCTGCGCTAGATTACTCTTTGGATTATTTGCAACTCTACAGTTCTGATGCTATGATCTTCTGCAGCTTTAAGTCACACACAGCATGAAGAAAGTCATAGGAAAGACATTCAGTATAAGGCAGATATATAAGATCTCAGCATGCGCAAAGCATTTGCCGGTATCTCTTCTCTCTCTCTACCCGAGGGTGCTGATGGGGAACGTTTTATACTTTCCCTGGAAAGGAAATTTGACCTAGTGGCGGATGAATTATCTACATTGTATAAAGCAAAATCAGCTTATGGGGGGGGGGGATGGTCGTCTTATCTTTTAAAAGAAGGAACTCTAGTCATGGTTCTGTTCTCCGCTCAGAAAAGAAGTTGACTAGCTTTCGAACAAAAGGAGTCTTAACAGATGCATGGCGAGTGTGTTTTCTTAATCTTCTTACGTGGCTGATCCTGGCAAACGCCCAAGGTCAGAAATCGCTTGGCATGGGGCAATGGTTACGAGCGAGGTCATCAGGGCTGAGTTCTTATGGAGAGAACCATCCTGGGCTGGGACTGTACCGCTTTAGGCTGCAGGTGGTGGCTTGCCAGACTGAAGGCTCCTCAATGCAAACAGAACATGCCTCCATGGCATAGATCCCGGATCCTGGTGGTGGGACAGGTGCGCTGAAGGACCAGGTGAGCAGCCTGGGAGTCATTTTGGACTCGCAGCTGTCCATGGAAGCGCAAGTCAATTCTGTGTCCAGGGCAGCTGTCTCCCAGCTCCATCTGGTACGCAGGCTGAGACCCTCCCTGCCCGCAGACTGTCTCACCAGAGTGGTGCATGCTCTGGTTATGTTCCGCTTGGACTACTGCCATGCGCTCTATGTGGGGCTACCTTTGAAGGTGACCCGGAAACTACAACTAATCCAGAATGCGGCAGCCAGACTGGTGACTGGGAGTGGCTGCTGAGACCACATAACACCGGTCTTGAAAGACCTACATTGGCTCCCAGGATGTCTTGCAGAGGGTAGTTCATACATAGTGAAGAAGGAAGCCCTTCCTGAAATCTTCTGTATACTGATCTGGTGCTTCCTAATCCAAGAATTCATAGAATTGAATTGTAGAGTTGGAAGGGACCACGAGGGTCATCTAGTCCAACCCCCTGCAATGCAGGACTCCTTTGCCCAACATGGGGCTCAAACCCACAACCCTGATTTTGAGAGTCTCATGCTCTACTGGCTGATCTAACCCACTAGTCACAGGCAGGTAAATTTCTGTTTACTGAATTCCTATTGATAGAATGTCATACAATTCTATGGTTTTATTTTCCCAGGAGTTATGACCACCTCCCCTGCGTTTTGTCCATTACTGACCTGTGACTTATGTTCCAGCTTCCTGCCAGTCGGAACATAGATCGTTTCTCAAATTTATCCCAGAATTAGTGCATGGGCAGTTTGCAGCAAAACTTCAGCCCCTTCGATTAATTTGCGTCCCTTTCCTGGCCTGGTTTGCCGATGCGCTCGGATGCTGAATAATAGCCAACGCTCCTGGCGAGTGTCAGGGCAGATGGATGAAGCGTGTGATCACGCATAACATTACACCCTCTGAGATTCCTTGTTTGGCATGGCGTGTGCATCAGAAACCAGATCGTCTTTTTAAAAAATACAGAGGTGCAAAGAACAGGGGACTGAAATGTACCACAAAGAGTGTGTGCATGGACGAAGATGAAGATGCACAGAATGAATAAATAAAAACTTTGCTGAAAACATAGGAATAGCTCTGCTGGATCAGACCAGAGGGGGCACATCTAATCCAACCTCCAGTTCTCACAGTGGCCAACCAGACGCCAGTCAAAAACCTGCCAACAGGATCAGAGCACAAGAGCAACTTTCCTCTCCTGTGGTTTCCAGCAACTGGTATTCAGAAACATGGCTGCCTTCAGTGGTGGAGACAGAGCAGAGCTACTATACTTAGCAGCCATCACTGGCCCTCTCTCTCCTCCAAGTAGTTGTCCAATCCCCTGTTAAAGCCATCCAGTTTGGTGGCCATCACTGCCTCCTGTGGGAGGGAGTTTGTGATAAGAATTTTGAGGTCTTAAAGGTAAAGGGACCCCTGACCATTAGGTCCAGTCGTGACGGACTCTGGGGTTGCGGCGCTCATCTCGCTTTATTGGCAGAGGGAGCCGGCGTGCAGCTTCCGGGTCATGTGGCCAGCAGGACTAAGCTGCTTCTGGCGAACCAGAGCAGCGCACGGAAATGCTGTTTACCTTCCTGCCAGAGTGGTACCTATTGATCTACTTGCACTTTGACGTGCCTTCAAACTGCTAGGTTGGCAGGAGCTGGGACCGAGCAACAGGAGCTCACCCTGTCGCAGGGATTCGAACTGCCAACCTTCTGATCAGCAATCCCTAGGCTCAGTGGTTTAATGCACAGCGCCACCCACCCAAGTGTACCAACCAAGCAAGTACATAGATCAGCACAGGAAGACCGACCTGGAACCATTTTGATTCCCAAACTGACCAAATGTTTTCCCTCAAGGAGGGAGGGGGGGGCAGGGAGCCTTCCCATTGTCTCAGGAATTGAGTAATCAGCATTTTAATGGGTGACAGACTATCAGGAAAGGCAATCAGGAAAGGCAATCAGATAACCTGGCAAACAGGAAAAAACATTCAAATTTCTGTTTCAGACCACCTTTTCTGTGATGTAGGTATCTGGGGGGTGGTCTTAGGTTACACCCCTTCTGTGATGTATGTATGATGTATGGAGGGGTGGTCTTGAGCTCCAGGGCAGGGAATTTAAAATGTCTATATAAGGCATTGTGCGCCATTGTTCTGGGTTCCTCCTCCCTCCTACGTGTGGTGAGTGAGGACCCTGTTGCAACAGATCAATAAAGATCAGGCTTACTAGCTGCTTTGCTTCTCAATATTTTCTGGTTGGCATCTGTTATTTTCTCCTACCAATAGGGAACCTACGTAAGGACTCTATATGGGCTCTTGGATACCCCATAAGGGAAAAGGGGCAGATTTTGTTTACAACAAGTTCCATAGTCCAACTCTGTACTGTGTGAAGAAGGACTTCCTTTTATGCGTCCTGAATCTTCCAATGTTCAGCTTCAAGTTCTAGTCTTAGGAGAGAGAGAGGAAAACTTTTCTCTGTGTTATAAGAAAAAAAACTGCTCCTTTTTCCTTTATCTAAGAGCTCATATAGAGTCCTTAAGTAGGTTCTCTATCGTAGGAGAAGATAACAGAGGCCAACCAGAGAATATTGAGAAAGTAAAGCAGCTAGTAAGCCTGATCTTTATTAAACTGTTGCAACAGGGTCCTCACTCACCACATGCAGGAGGGAGGAGGAACCCAGAACATTGGTGTGCAAGCTCTTATATAGACTTTTGAAGTTGCCCACCCTGTAGCCCAAGACCACCCCACAAAACACCATACATGCATCACAGAAAGAGGTGGTCCCCAGCAGAAATTTGAGTGTGTTGTTTCTCTCCTGTCTGCCAGGATACCTGATCATGCCTTATCTGATTGCCTTTTCTGGGTAGCCTGGCCCTCCCTTTGAGATGGTAAATACTTAGTTCCTGAATCTCTTACGCATATTGATAGTGTGCTCAGCTTAACAGATTTTGACCAAACTGCAGGAGGCAGTGGAAGACAGAAGTTCCTGGCGTGCTCTGGTCCATAGAGTCACGAAGAGTCGGACACAACTAAACGACTAAACAACAACAACAACAGCTTAACAGATACTTGCCAGACTGTCTTTGCAGGGAGGGGTAAGCCCCTACAGTGCAAAGACAATTAGAAAGCTTTTCCCATTTCCTTCCTCCTTGCAGAGAAATATTTGAGGTCAATTTGGGAGAGTCAAAATGGCTCCAGGATTGTTCTCCCACTATTTCAGACATGTGGCTTATATGCTTATGCATGTGTTTGCCTTGTACATTTATGAACATTTATTTTTCATATATAAGACCTTAGAATTCCTATAACAACTGAAGTGTGGATGGGGGAATTTTGCAGGCATCCTTTTCTCCCATCACCCCACCTGTAACTATGATGACAGGGAGAAGGTCCAGGTTTGCTCATTTCCGACTTGCACA